GTCTAAAGCGGAGGCATTCATATTTCTTAATAATGTTCTCGATTAACTTTAGGGTTAGGGTCATCCTATATTAGGGTAGGGATAGGTTTTAGGTAGTTATCGTTTTTTTTTATTTTTTGTTTTGCTTCGCCGGCGATTATCAAAATTCTATAATTTGATTGGTGGTAGATCACATGATTTGCCTCCGTTTTAGAAGTCCCCCAACTTTAGCCCTCTCTACAACGATCACAGCCTATTAGGTACAAACAAAGTGCACTTATTTCGGAGGAATACAGTATTTTAACTAGATCTAGAATATTTTGTCAATATCGCAAAATGTATGATATGCATAATGAAATTGATCTACAACCCAGCTATTAATTTAGTTTTGACATGTTTATATTTTGCACAATTACAGCTTGTTTCATACGATAAAACCGATTAAAACCGATTGATAATATTTGAAGTTTGAGTTCGGTTTTGTTTTTCTTATATTAAAATAGTTTTTAGTCTATTTTAATCTAATCTAAGCGGTAAGTGCAAATGCGTTTCACAAACTTGAGATTGCTGCGTATAAGAGCGCTAAAAAATTTTGACAGTAAATGGTTGGCTTGGCGAATCATGAGCATCTTTAAATTCTATCGATTCACCTGGGCGGCAAAAAGTCTGAAATTAATAAAAAAGAATAATAATGAAAACAGCTACAGCGATAGTATATTTATAATACTCAATTTTCACACATAAACGAAGAATTTTGCATATTCGTAACTTTTGACGCTGCTCCGCACTTTCTCGACACAGCTCAGCTCTGCACTGCAAGGCAAGAGCAAGAGAATATTCTATAGAACTTCAAGTTTGTGGTACAGTGAATTTTTTTTTTTAGGGATTTTTTCGATATAAATGGTCAATAGTATCATCTCACCGTGAAATTAATAAAAAAAATAATGAAAACAGCTACGGCGATAGTATATTTATAATACTCGATTTTCACACATAGACGCTGCTCCGCACTTTGCAAGGCAAGAGCAAGAGAATATTCTATAGAACGTTTCAAGCTTGTGATACAATGAATTTTTTTTAGGGATTTTTTCGATATAAATGGTCAATATATTTTCTCACCGTATAAGGGTGCTAAAATAAAATAAAAAAAAGACAATAAACAAGGTTACATAAGTGGTAAAGAATTCCAATTTGCGGTAGCAATTTGGAATACTATACATTTTGATACAGATCGCGTAAATCATTGTCCACAATATTTAGTTAATAAAATATTCTGCCTTTACACACAACTTCAGAACTTGTGATATATCTACGTATAAAGCACACCTAATTAGTCTTGGAAATTAAACGAGTTAGGGGAAACCGGTTTATCTTTAATTGCAGGTTTCGTATACTAAGTTCGTACAAGCGTACAATCAGATTCGTACAAGTGGACGAGTAGGTTATTGGGTTCACTAAAATTCAGTAAATTACATAATACATGTAATCAAATTTAGCTAAAACTAATTGTTTTTGTGTAAATACGTTAAATTAGGGGTAGGGTTGGAATTGATGTTTGTATAGTAAAATCTCATGATCATTTTTAATTAGTGCGCAGGAACCGGTTCATAGTTAAAATTTAGAGTTACGGGCAATTTGTTAAATTTTTTAAAGTCGTTTTATTAACGTTACGCCTGATCTCGTACTCGTGTTATTCAAAATGTATGAATTTTGATGTCCTAATATATCGAATTTAATTAGCTACAAGTAAGTAGTATGAATTGGATTATCCAAACGTATGAATTTGGTTGGCTACAAAGAATTTGATCGCCCAAATATTGTCCAAGCGATTGTCCAAGCGTACATGTACGAATTCGATTATCTACATGTACAAATTTGATGTACGTACATACCTTGGATCTAGTTATGAACACATATACAGTCAGACCACCCTAGATGCAATGCGACGGGACAATATATAAAAATTTAGTCAAATGTGCACTTAGAGAGGTATTGCATTTAGGGAGGTAAAAATCTATAGATATAATATTAGTTGGGCCCAAGGGAAGACGTGCATTTGGGGGGTAGCATTTTGGGGTCTGACTGTATATTATTTTAATAGTACTTGAATTATTTCATGAATTCAGCTCGAATGATAGTAAAATTGATGTAAGAAACATGAGTTGCATATTTTTCTTTTTGGTCAATTGAGCAGAGGTCTTTTTCGATTTTTAAGTGTTGCCTTACCTTGTTTAGTACATTGAGAGTGCATCTGGAGTGCGTCGAGTGAAACTCGGATTTGCATAGCAAAAGTTCTGATTATATTAAATAATTGAAATTTTTTTTACAGAAACTGCCAATTAGCAGCTTTGGAACCACATTAAAGTAACAATAAAGTAACTACGTAGTTTTAAAGTTGTAATATGTTAGCAACTATAGCTACTATAAAGTAACCATATAATTATTTTATAGTTACTCTAAAATAGTTTTTTAAATTTTTAAAATTGCTAAACTGACAGTTTTTTCTGTAAAGCTTAATTTGTATTTGTAACGCAGGAAGATGCTTTCCTTATACACTTAATGCAACAAACAAGGTAGTCAGCTGTTAAAATCGAAAAAGACTTTTCTTTGTTTTTATGCGTGTAACTGTTACACTTCTTATTCTACGTATATAAATGGTAAACAAATGGTTTTATCAAAATCTCATTAAAGTGAATAAATTATATATAAAGGAACTTTAATCATTGATATAAGCATGGACGAATTGCTGGAGCACGTTAAAAATACTGTCATAAAAGAAGAAATGGACGATGAAACAATAATCCTAAATGTCGGTGGAATTAAGGTACCCTTTTAAAATGATTTTAACATTTTAAATAAGAAATTAATTTAATGTTATTATAGTTTGAAACCACTCGTACTTCTTTAATTGCTCATCCAGAAACAACACTAGGAAAATTATTAAATCCTAAAAACCCCGAAGCAATTAAACCAGTTAAGCCTGGTAGTAATGAGTATTTTATCGATCGAAATGGTCATGCATTTTATTTCATTCTAGAATATTACCGTACTGGTGAAATCCTTTGGGGCGATGAAATATTTGAATCTAAAGAATTTAAAGAATTTCCTGTTTCAAAACGAGCAATAGAATTGGAGACAGAATATTTTAAAATTCCCATTGACTATGAAAAACGCGCTGCCCGTAATTTACAACAAGGAGCCACAATTATCGACAAATTTTGTGAAAAATTGATTCCCTTTATTAATGAAGCGATAAGTAGATTTATTTCAGAACTTAAAATTTCATACGCTATAGGTGGTGATTATGCCTACTGCGAGCCATTTACGAACTACGAAAATGGAGAATGGTTTTATGAATTTAAGAAACAAGGTTATGCATTATTAAACAATGAAAAGATTGTTAATGCAATGGAGAAACGACTAAAGAAACATTTTCCTCCTATTAAAGTAAAAGCACAAATTAGTGGCAATTATGCATATTTATTTATTTCTGATTTCTTTGACATTAATGCTCTCGCAGATAGCCTTGAATAAAAATATTATTAATTATCTTGAGGCACCTATTTTTAGATTAAATAATCATTAATTTATCTAGTTAGATTGTTCTGTTTTTTCTTAAAGCTTTTTTTTCTATCTTTTCATATATGCTTAATAAATATATTTATATTTACTAAGACTTAATTAAATATGATTGATAAAATATATATTTATATAATTCAACTAGTATAGGAGGACGTTCTAACGTCCGTGCATTACTCTTTGGAGCAGTTAGAAATATATTGTAGTTCACAATTACAAAAGCGGACAGACATAAGTGACTTAACTTATAACTCAGATCACGGTACCTGACGAATTATAGGAAGTGACCAAAATCGGACGCATTTAAAATTTTAATAGTATAGATAATAAATTAAATGTATTGGATAAATAAGCAATCGTATTTATTTGCTATCCTGAATAGAAAAAATAAATAAGAGCTATACAGTAAAACTTTTCTAAGTGCACCCCTTTGAACCACATTAAAACATGCACTTAATGTGAATATTTATAGAGTAAAATATATAGTGACAATTGTAAAGCGTGCGCTTAGGTAGGTACTACTGCACTTGGTGAGATTAACGTGAATGTAATAAAATACAAAATATGGCAAGATAGTAATTATTTGAAACTTACTGCCTCAACGACATAGACAATAAGTTATATTTTAAATTATAAACTATACATATTTAAAAAGTAAATTCAATTGAATAAATAACATACCGTATATTAAGTATCTTCCTTGGTCGAATATAATACCAGAGAAAATCGTGATATTAATTCTATTAACTGGCTATTCTTTGATTATTATACGACCGGAGAATATTAAACGTATGCATTTATACAGTGGAATATAATTAGTAATATTAAAATTTTTTTAACCCTTGGAAAATTGCCATATGGCGTACTATTAATTTATATTTCGAATAGTACGTACGATTATTGAACTGTGTCCAACGCATTTCTAGTATTATACGCTAGGACATGTTATATTACGCAACAATGTATTATTAATAGTAGCTGAAAAAATTGTTAAGGATCAATTAAAATGTAAGAATTTTGCGCTTGCTCCTAGTTTTTTTCTCATACGTAAAGATCTGATTTTTTCAAAGGCGATTAATATTAAACTTTGAATATGCGAGAGTCGATTATGCAAATATATGTAGTTTTATATGAATTATTTCGTATCTGATTAGAGAAATTATTTTACATGTGGTTAGGAATATGAATTATCGGGATAAGAAAATATTTTATACAAAGAATAATGAGATTTCATATATTGTTTGATGCTAAAGGTTAGTGAGCCACATAGAGAATTGGTTATTCTATTAGGTTTCAGGTATAGTGGAAATGGATATTAGAAATAGTTTTGATGACTCAATTTTTGTCTAAATTTTATTAAAGTAAAATATGAAATTAAAGATGTATATGTTGTAGGTGGGAATGGAATTTAAGTGGATTTGGAATTTCCTAGTTAAATTAGGGTTAGGGTTAGGGTGTACATATGATAAAATCAACCCCAGAACGGGGTTTTATTTATAAATTCCGAATCCACTTAAATTTCGTTTCACTTACAACATATATTTAAAATTTTGTTTTAAAAAAACAATATCGTAGCTAAAATTTTTTGCATATTTTTCACTAATGTTTAAAATTTTACAAATTTAATTATTTTAACCTAAAACTGCATGTTGGCCTATTCTAAACGTTTATACAGCATTGCAATCGAATTATTATTTCATTTGTTTTATATCTTTTTATTTAAAAATAGGTTATTTAGGTTCTTGAGTGTTCAAAATTATGTGTTCTTAGTTGTTAGTATTATTTTAGTTGACACTTATTCAAAATAAAAGTTATTATTTTATCAACTAAAATACCTATCGAAATACAGTAGTTTTTATGACTATTTCTGGATAAATAATTATTCTGATACGTTTTTATTTTTTAATAGGACTATAAATTGCGCGTTACAACTAATTAGATATTAGATGTAATGTGTTGGTAAGCCTTTATAACTATCGTCCCGACAGGTATCTAATAACAACTACATTAAGTTGCTCCTTGACTCTTCGAAAATTGTCGATTTAATCGGCTAACTAAAACTCTCAATAAGGGTGAGCGAGATCGGCGAAACCAGGCTAAGTGCTCTTAAGCCCGGGTTGTTAAATTATCGTAATTTTAATTTTTTTTGGTAAATTACCTGAGCTATTCGGTAAAGCACATGTAAATTTATTTTGAATAATAAAGTTTGTGCAATATAAATCATGTGATTTGATGGCTAAAATTTTTTTTATCCAATCAAATTATAGTAAATTACCTGGTAAATTACCGATGGTAATTTACCACCTGACAACCTCACTTAAGCACCTCTTTCTATGGTTTATAGAATTATCTGATTGAAAAAAAATAAATAAAATAAAATAATCGTGATTAAACAACCCGGGCTTAAGAGCACTTAGCCTGG